CTCCGCTCGGGCCTCGGTGACGCAAGACAGGGCCGCTTCGGCAGAGCGGAGCGCATGGCTCGACATTGCGCAGGACGGAGGGGCGATGCTGGGGAAGGAGGAGGAGGAAGAGGAGGAGGAAAAGGAGGAGGAGAAGGAGGAGGAGGAAGAGGATGACAAGGAGGAGGAGGAGGAGGAAGAGGAGGGGGAGAGAGAGTGGAGGAAGAGGAGGAGAATGAAGATGAGGAGGATGAACCCCACCATCCCTGTGGGCGAGAACGGCCTAGGCAGGCAAACGACAACGAGGGGCGCATACGAAGCGGAGCGCCCCGACAAGAGCCGCTCCCAGGAAGAGTGAGGCCATCTCTGGGTCCTCTGGCCACCGCCTGGAGAAGAACATGTAACCATCCAGCCCAGACCACGAGCCTCCTTGCGTTCTCATGGGTGGCCTAGGAACTGTGGGAGGAGGGAGTACCAGAAAGCTGGAACACACACACACACACATGGCTGGCTTCACGTCTGGGACATGCGGAGAACGGGCCCTGGATACTCGTGCTGAGGGGCGGTGCGCGCAGCTGCCCACAGGGCCCATCGTTGGAAAGACATCTGGCCACGCGTGCAACCAGCATCTGTCGGTGCCCCCGCTTAGCTCGATCGCTGGTGCAGCCATTCTGCCTCGCCACCGACGGAAAAAAGTGTATCCAGCCTTTGCCCAGGCCAGCCAAGTTGTGTGCGTGCGTGTCCGGCTCCCAGGCAGAGCGCGCGGGACGCAGCCGCGCTTCCGCCTCAAATCTCGGGTGCGCCGAAGAGGGGGGCCAGGAAGCGGGGGGCGGGGCTCATCATTAGCCGAGGCACACGCGCGGAAGAAGAAGAGGAGGAAGAAGAAGAAGAAGATGAAGAAGAAGAAGAGAGGGCCATGAAATTTGGGAGATGTCATGGCTCCAGCACTGATATCCAGACACACGCTGGATGAGGGGCAACCGTAAGGGGGGATTTGATCTCGGGGGGGGGGCATCGACCTGGAATCGGCGATACATCGTCGATATATCGGCAATAGGCCCCCGATAGGTCCCCGACGGCGATCGGCGATAGCCGCCACGTCCTCGCACACCTCGCCCAGTGCGTCTTTTTCGACAACGCAAGCCGCGACCATCAGGAGGGCAAGAGGCACTGCCAGGCGCGCCGCCGTGCTACTCGGTAAGAGCGGGTTCACTGGGCTGGCCCCCCTAACTTGGAGGCGCGCACACTACGGTAGCAGGAAAGGGGGAAGGCTTCTTAGAGGGAGGCTGCGTCTGAGAAGGCGCCACCCATACATCTATAGACAAGGCCCGCTTTTTAAGCAGGGGTGTCTCTAAGAAGCCTTCCCCCCTCCCCCTAACCCACCCTTAAGAGGCAACGGGACTGGCATAGGGGGGGGAACACCGACCTGGAATCTGCGATACATCGCCAATTGATCGGTGATAGGTCCCCGATAGTGAATCGGCACGCTCCTGGGCTGGTTGGGGCTATCGGGCCCCGATCGGCGATCAATGGGCGACTGGGGGTCGATGCATCTCCCCCTATGCATATCCCACCCCTATCGCTGCCTCTGAACTCTGCGCGTGGCTGCGGTTCGCCAGGCCAGACACCCCCGAACGCTGCCGAGTCCTCCAACAGGCGGGCACGGCCGGGCGCTTCCGCCAAGGGCGCGTGAGCGACGCCCGGGGCTTGCAGCCGAGCCGCCCTCGGGCGGGCGCGGCTGGCGGCAGGTGGCCGACGCCCGAGGTGGCGAGGCCTCCAGTGCTATTGAGGGCAGGGGATCTGCCTGGCCGGTGCTGGCGAATCGAAGCGAATCGAATCGGAATCGCGGGCCAAGCCGACGAATCAAGCCGCATCGGATCAGATCGTGGGCGGCCCTGCTCGCGCCCTCGTGCTGACGCCTTGGAGAAGGGCAGCCGCTCTGGCCCAGGCCGCGACTCGCGAGGCGCGATCATCTGTGCGCCCCCGCAGGTGAGCTAAGGAACAGCGTCTGATCATTGGAGACAGCGTGATCCACCGCCGCTTTACTGTGGAAAATTGCCCAACCTTTTCCTCCGGAACCCAGGGGTTGCCCCCCCCCTCCGAAATCCCCCCCCCCCGTTCTGGACCCCATCCCCCCCCCCTCCCCCGGCAAACACCCCCCCCCTCCCCTAACCCCGCCCCCTCCCCCCCCCCCCCTTCCCCCTCGACAACCGGGCGGGGTCACTACCGTTTCGGGGGATTCGAACAACCCCTCCCCCCCCCCCTCCGGATCCGGAAAACCAGGGGGGTCACTACCGGTTCGAAAAAAACCCCCCCCCTCGAAACCGAGGGGGTCACTACGCGGCTCTACCCCCCCCCCCCACCACGCACCGCCAGCAAACGACTCCCGGTCCCTACCACCGTCCGCATCACATCCCCCACTGTTGTTCCCTGCACCACTGTCCTCACCACCACTGTCCCCACTGGTTCCACCACCGTGCCTACTGTCCCCACCAGTGCCCCCACCACTGTCGCACTGTCCCCACTGTCCCCACCACTGTTCCCACCACGGTTCCACTTTCCCCACTGTCTCCACGGCGCCAACCACTGCCCGACTATCCCCACTGTCCCCACTGTCCCACTGACTCCTCCGCTGTCCCACTGAGCTGTCCCACTTGTTCCCACCACTTTCCCCCACTGTCCCCACCACTGTCCCCACTGTACCTCGGTCCCATTGTCCCACCGCCGTCCTCGCCACCGCCTTCACCACTGTCCCCACCACCATTGTACCCTCCACTGTCCCACTGTTTCCACCTCATTCCCATTGTCCCCACACCACTGTCCCCACCACCACCGTCACCACCACTGTCCACTGTCCCCCCCTGTTCCCACCATTGTCCCCACCCCTGTCCCCACCGACTGTTTGTTTTTTTTTTTTTCCCACACCACTACCGTTCCCCCCCCACTGTCCCACTGCCCCACTGTCCCCCACCACTGTCCCGCTGTCCCCTGCACCACTGTCCCCACCAACACCGTCCCCCCAACTGTCCGGCACCCACACCCGGTTTTCGAGTGGGGGAGGGGGGGGTTCGAACCGGTAGTGACCCCCCCCCGTTTTTTCGAGGGGGGGGGGGTTCGAACCGGTAGTCCGGTAGTGACCCCCCCCCCTTTTCATGATGAACTGGGGGGGGGGGGGGAGGGGTTCGAACCGGTAGTGACCCCCCCGGTTTTCCGGAGGGGCGGGGGGGGGGGGAGGGGTTCGAACCAGTAGTGACCCCCCCCCGGTTTTCCGCCAGCAGCGGTAGAACACGCTCTTTCGATCATTGGCACTCCCGGCATGGGTGCGGAGAAAATCGGTACGATGCCGAGTAGCGAGCGTTGTCCAAAACCGAAAGCGCCTGTTGTTGGGCAGGCGACTCTTCGCGCAACAGTGGACATCGCCCGTGGCGGCGCCGACGGCGAGTCCTGCTCAGAGTGGACAGGGCCTTCTGTCGATCATCGCCCCTGCTCTTTCCCTGCCCATGTCTTGAGGGCCCCCAAACGGTGCGGGGACACACCGTGCGGTGACCTCGCAATCCCAAGAGACCTCACCGCACGGTCCGTCACCGCACGAGCGATGCCTGGGCGCACTCGAGCCAGCTTGCAGAACGGACGCTGCTCCATCCGCGGGCGAGCCGAGCGGTGAGGCCCCTGGTGCGTCCAAGGCAGAGTCACGCGTCCAAGGAGACGAGGAGGGGAACAAGGAGGGCGGGCAGGTTCGTCCAAATGCCCTCGGTACTCAGCGTTTGAACGACGAACGCCTGAACGACGAGAAAGTCCAAACCAAGCCCCCAATCGCGGAATGGATTCGGGAACCCCCAGGAGCTCACAAGTCGCAGAAGCCAGATCCCAACGACACACAACCAAAGACGGGCGCACAGACAGATTTACAGTCTGTCTATCTCCCCCTGCTTGACTCCCGATCTCTGAGCCTGAACCAGTCGGCACACGATTTCTCGTGAGGTTGGCTGCGACGGCAAGGCGGGGGTGCGGGTGCCTCCCACGAGAACGAGGTAGTGCGGCGCCTCTCATCCCAGTGCTTCGACACCTGGCGGCATCGTGGCCATCAGGAGGCAAGGAAAAAAGAATGTCTCAGCCAACAGGTTATCTCATTTGGCTTCGATCGTATCGTTCTCGCCTGTCGACTTGTTCGGATGCAGCAGCAGCATCATCACTTGCCAAGGAGAATTTCAAAAGAGAGGATGAAACAGCATGGAGGAGGTGGAAAGCTGGGGAGGGAGAATGGGGAGAGACATGCAAGCAAAGAAGAAGGCGAGGACGACAAAGTGAGAGAGCGGGAGAGAGATGGAGACCTCAGGGCTTTCTCTGATTGCGGAGATCGGCCATTGTTGGGAGCTTGAGAGCAGCTGTGGCTCCTGACTCTGGGGGCATACGCCGGCCTCCTGGGGGGACCTCCTCTTGGCTGCATTCACCTCGGGATCCTAGTCAGAGCCTGCTCCAGGATAGGTCTGGGGGTCGTTTCTTGAGCTGGAGCCACTCGGCGGGGATCTCCTGTGCAAGTGTGCGGAGGCGGCGTGCCAAATGCACGTGCGGAGCACCGGCGCACCCAGCCACTCGACGGCCGAGCGCCGAAAACACACGCGGCCGCATGTGTACCCAGCTCTCGCCCAGACCAACCGCCTCGTGTTTCCAGCTACCTGAGCCCTCCTCCCGCTCTTGCGCGCTGGCCCAATTCGCGTCTCGGTGCCCCCAATTTAGCTCTATCGCTGGTGCAGCCAGCTCTGCCTCGCCGCCGGCGGAAGAGAGTTTCCAGCTACCTGGTAAAGGGACATCTCGCTGCCCAACCAAGCCATTCCTGCATGAGCAGACACCTCGAAAATCGGAGAAATTATTAGTTAGACACGCTTGGCGAGGGCGCACGAGCGAGGCGAGTGACGAGAAGCGCACGAAACCCGAAGAAAAGTGAATGGGGGTCGTCACGAATTGAGTCGCGCGCGCGTGCTGGTTCTGAACAGGCGACCACTCCAAAACTATATTTTTTTTCTGCCGGCGTGAGCTGTGCGGCTGGCGGGCCGGCAGGAGGAGGAGAAGGAGGAGGCCACGCCCTGCAAGCCGCTCGGCTCCCGACGCCGAGAGCAGCGAGCTGGTCACCCCACGCGCCGCCGCAGGACGTCTTCCATCAGCGACAGAAACTTGCTCAGCCGCCTGATGCGCTCCAGGGTGCGGGTGGGGTCGCAGAGGAACTCTTCACGCTTGCTCGCGAGCGCCGAGACTGCCGCGTGCCCCGCGAGCGCCAGGCGCCGCTGCGCGGCGGCATGCACGGAATCGCCGGCGCCGTCGCCGAGCCCGGCCATGAACACGCCGTCCATGGTGTTCTGGGCCGCGTCCGTCAGCTCCGCAAGCGACCTGGAGCGCAGGTCGCCCGCCCCCCAGATGCCCGTCCGCTCCTGCAGCTCGCCACACGCCCGGAACAGGGACTCCAGGCGCGCCAGCTCCTCCATCGCACGCTGCGCCGCGGCGGAGGAAGGTTGGTCGCCGGACCACTCGCAGACCTCCTGAACGAGCCGCCTCTGCGGGGAGCCATCGTCGAGGTTGGCCCTGTCGAGCAGCCGCAGGCAGGTCACTCCACGCAGTGTTGCCAGGACCCCGTCCTCGCCGCCATCGGCCTCCGTGCTCAGGAGCTCCACGCCCACCCCGCCCCGCGGAAGCGCCATGCTCTCCCGGATGAGCGGGACGCACGCGAGGAAGCCCTCCGCGGCGCTCCACGCCACGCGGGCCTGCTCCCACGACAGCCTCGTCTTCCTCACCTGGCCGACACAAGGCACTGCCACGGAGGGCAAAGGAAGAACCACGGTGCTGCGCAGCGGCGTCGCGTCGATCTCCTCGAGGACGATGTCGTTATACTGGTCCCGCAGCAGCTTGGCCAGGTTGTCTGGGTGCTCAGACGGAAGAGCGCGCCAGGCCTTCAAGCCAAGCGGCCCCGGCGCGGAGATGCCCGTGGCCCCTGATGCCTCGGCAGCGCAATAGATTCCCTGCCGCGGAGGCCGAGCCCGTGCGCCTGGCCGTGGTCCCTGCGATGTGGCGCGAGCGGTGGCCCAGCACCGCTGCACCGCCAGCCCTGCCGCACGGACAGCCACGGCAGAGCCGAGCGCCAGCGCTCCCAGAGCGGGCCGCGCGCTGGCGCCGCGCGCTGAAGCCGCGGGGGCGCCAGCGGGCGGCGCGAAGGCTGGGCCTCGCCTGTCGCTGCTGTCGGAGGGCGCCACCTATACACCTGCACCGATCCTGGCCAAGCCAATCTTGGGCCCAGAATAGGCCCCAGGCTTGGCGAGGAAGGCATAAGCACCCATCCTGGGCCCAGGATGGGCCTGGCCAGGATCGTAAGCATTTGGTTGGCGCCCTCCAGTGCCGGCCAGCACCCACGCAGTGCAGGCCAGGGCTGCCCGCCGCCATCCAAGCCACTCCGCGCGCGGCGCCATCTCTACCCGCCAAGGCCAGAGGCCGGCACACGGCTGACGATCAAAGGGTGGGGTTGGAAGTCCCTTCTCTCGGCCACCGTGTGATGATGAAAGCACCTCGACGCCCCTGGATCAGGGGGCCAAGGTCCCGGGAAAATGTCAACTGCACACCAACATCGAGTGGCCAATGCACTAATGGAATTAGGACTGGCGCGTAGTCAGCTCCTGGCCGCTGGCAAACTAGGAGATTGCTACGCATCAATTCAATGCCCGAGGAGGAGGCGGAGGCGGAGGCGGAGGCGGAAGCGGAGGCGGAGGCGGAGGCGAAGGCGGAGGAGGAGGAGGAAGAGGAGGAGAAGCAGGAGGAGGAGGAGAACTTGGCATGCCTTACGTTATTCCAAATCTACTTGATAGAGTGCATCCCCAAAGGATTCCGAGCACCCGGCCTCGCATATCTGCCCTGCCGGGACAAGAGACGCCCTCCCCTGGCGACATCCCCACCCACCAGTGCGGTGCCAGCCCCTAGGGCCAGAGATTCTTCGTGAACTTCCGAAATGAAGCTTGGACATCGTAAGGCATGGCCTGATGTGGTATTCGTACGCGGTGGATCATTGTCTTCCTCCAGCAGTCACACCGATATCAATCGACGTCGGCTGCGGAATCATGCATACTCTGCCAAATCCCGCGTCCCCGAGGCAGCGAGGGTGGTCCCTGCGTTACGCGTGGCAATCCCGCAATGCAGGCGGCCTCTCTCCAGCCGGCCGAGCGGTTCCTGTCAACTCAGCAGCTAATAATCCGTTGATTATCCTGGCCGAACTTATCGCCAGACTGCCACGTGGCATGTAGCGTGGACCCAGAAGCAGGAACATCGGGGCACACCGAACATGTGCCCGCGGGAGCCGAATGATGATGTATGTTGGAGCATTCGCACGATTGCGGTGGAAAGTGAGGGGAGCACCCAGGCTGTCCTCTTGGTGGCAGGGCGTATAAAGAGCCCATCAGGCAAGACACGTATTTGTTCCCCCCCCCCCATGATCGCACTCCCCAACTAACAATGGTGCCCAAGACATGTGCCGAGCAAACCCAGAACCACGAGAGGACCGACCTGCGATAGGCGGGCCCGAATGAGAAACGTTGGCTTGTGCAAGAAAAAAGTGCAGCTTGGGCGGGAGGAGGGCGAGGACGAGTAGGCAGAGTGGGCAGCGCTGTTGCATACACAGCTGTCGTGTGCACCCACTGCTAAGAGCCCCAGCCGGAGCCAGCAGTGGACAAGCACCAGCGACTCTGAGAGCGGGAACGACGATCGGAAAGAGGAGGAGAAGAAAGGAACAAGAGGGGCTGAAATGAGAGCGGTTATTCATGGCGCGCACGGCTATGCTGAAATTCCAACAAGGCAAGACCCCGAGAAAAAATTACCCGATCAGTACCCTAACTGATTTTGGTTGCCACTCGTCCGTTCGCCAAGAAGGCCAAGACAAAGAAAAGCAAGACGAGAAGAACGAGGGCGCGCACGACAACGAAGAATGGGACTACGACGACGACGACGACGACAACAATGGGGACAAGGACAACGGCAACGGCGACGAAGACGAGAACGACGCCAACGACCGATGATGGCGACGACGTGCGGCGTGCCGATCCGCGACGTTCGTCGTTCGTCGACGGCCGAAGCCTCCTGACGGCAGCGCTCGCCACGCGACAGCTGTCGGACGCGAGAGGGTATGCTTGAGCTGAACCTCCTGGCAGAGGCGCCAGCCACGCGACGCTGGACGGGGTCGGTCACGCTCGGCGTCGGCCACCTGGCAGCAGCGCTGGCCACGCGATGGCTGCGAGACAGTAGCGGGCACGATTGAAGTGAGCCTCTCGGCAGCTGCACTGGCCACACGATTGAAGTGAGCCTCCTAGCAGCAGCGCTGGCCACGCGATGGCTGCCAGACAAAAGCGAGCACGCTTGAACTGAGCCTCCTGGCGGCAGCGCCGGCCACGCGACGGCTGCTGGACGCGAGAGGGCACGCTTGAGCTGAGCCTCCTGGCAGAGGCGCCAGCCACGCGACTGCTGGACGGGGTCGGACACGCTCGGCGTCAGCCACCTGGCAGCAGCGCTGGCCACGCGATGGTCTGCCAGAAGGAGCGGGCACGATTGAAGTGAGCCTCTCGGCAGCTGCACTGGCCACGCGATGGCTGCCAGACGGGAACGGGCACGATTGAAGTGAGCCTCCTAGCAGCAGCGCTGGCCACGCGATGGCTGCCAGACAAAAGCGAGCACGCTTGAAGTGAGCCTCCTGGCGGCAGCGCCGGCCACGCGACGGCTGCTGGACGCGAGAGGGCACGCTTGAGCTGAGCCTCCTGGCAGAGGCGCCAGCCACGCGACTGCTGGACGGGGTCGGACACGCTCGGCGTCAGCCACCTGGCAGCAGCGCTGGCCACGCAATGGCTGCCAGACAGGAGCGGGCACGATTGAAGTGAGCCTCTCGGCAGCTGCACTGGCCACGCGATGGCTGCCAGACGGGAACGGGCACGATTGAAGTGCGCCTCCTAGCAGCAGCGCTGGCCACGCGATGGCTGCAAGACAAAAGCGAGCACAATTGAACTGAGCCTCCTGGCGGCAGCGCCGGCCACGCGACGGCTGCTGGACGCGAGAGGGCACGCTTGAGCTGAGCCTCCTGGCAGAGGCGCCAGCCACGCGACTGCTGGAACGGGGTCGGACACGCTCGGCGTCAGCCACCTGGCAGCAGCGGCTGGCCCCGCGATGGCTGCCAGACGGGAGCGGCACGATTGAAGTGAGCCTCTCGGCAGCTGCACTGGCCACGCGATGGCTGCCAGACGGGAATGGGCACGATTGAAGTGCGCCTCCTAGCAGCAGCGCTGGCCACGCGATGGCTGCCAGACAAAAGCGAGCACGCTTGAAGTGAGCCTCCTGGCGGCAGCGCCGGCCACGCGACGGCTGCTGGACGCGAGAGGGCACGCTTGAGCTGAGCCTCCTGCAGAGGCGCCAGCCACTCGACTGGCTCGCAGCCGCGCGGACACGCCTCGGCGTCCAGCCACCTGGCCGCAGCCGCTGACACGCGATGGCTGCCAGACGGAGCGGCACGATTGAAAGTGAGCCTCTCGACAGCTGCACTGGCCACGCGAATGGCTGCAGACGGGAACGCCACGATTGAAGTAGCTCCTACGCAGCAGCGCTGGCCACGCGATGGCTGCCAGAACAAAAGCGAGCACGGCTTGAAGTGAGCCTCCTGGCGCCGCGCCGCCACGCGCGGCTGCTGGACGCTCGAGGGCACGCTTGACTGAGCCTCCCCTGTGACAAAAACCAGAGGCGCCAGCCCGCGGCTGCCTGGACGGGGTCGGACACGCTCCGCCGTCAGCCACCTGGCAAGCGCGGCTGCCACGCGATGGCTGCCAAACAGGAGCGGGCACGATTGAAGCAAGCCTCTCGGCAGCTGCACTGGCCACGCGATGGCTGCCAGACGGGAACGGGCACGATTGAAGTGCGCCTCCTAGCAGCAGCGCTGGCCACGCGATGGCTGCCAGACAAAAGCGAGCACGCTTGAAGTGAGCCTCCTGGCGGCAGCGCCGGCCACGCGACGGCTGCTGGACGCGAGAGGGCACGCTTGAGCTGAGCCTCCTGGCAGAGGCGCCAGCCACGCGACTGCTGGACGGGGTCGGACACGCTCGGCGTCAGCCACCTGGCAGCAGCGCTGGCCACGCGATGGCTGCCAGACAGGAGCGGGCACGATTGAAGTGAGCCTCTCGGCAGCTGCACTGGCCACGCGATGGCTGCCAGACGGGAACGGGCACGATTGAAGTGAGCCTCCTGGCAGCAGCGCTGGCCACGCGATGGCTGTCAGACAAAAGCGAGCACGCTTGAAGTGAGCCTCCTGGCGGCAGCGCCGGCCACGCGACGGCTGCTGGACGCGAGAGGGCACGCTGGAGCTGAACCTCCTGGCAGCAGCGCCAGCCACGCGACTGCTGGACGGGGTCGGACACGCTCCGCGTCAGCCACCTGGCAGCAGCGCTGGCCACGCGATGGCTGCCAGACAGGAGCGGGCACGATTGAAGTGAGCCTCTCGGCAGCTGCACTGGCCACGCGATGGCTGCAAGACTGGAACGGGCACGATTGAAGTGAGCCTCCTAGCAGCAGCGCTGGCCACGCGATGGCTGCCAGACAAAAGCGAGCACGCTTGAACTGAGCCTCCTGGCGGCAGCGCCGGCCACGCGACGGCTGCTGGACGGGGTCGGACACGCTCGGCGTCAGCCACCTGGCAGCAGCGCTGGCCACGCGATGGCTGCCAGACAGGAGCGGGCACGATTGAAGTGAGCCTCTCGGCAGCTGCACTGGCCACGCGATGGCTGCCAGACGGGAATGGGCACGATTGAAGTGCGCCTCCTAGCAGCAGCGCTGGCCACGCGATGGCTGCCAGACAAAAGCGAGCACGCTTGAAGTGAGCCTCCTGGCGGCAACGCCGGCCACGCGACGGCTGCTGGACGCGAGAGGGCACGCTTGAGCTGAGCCTCCTGGCAGAGGCGCCAGCCACGCGACTGCTGGACGGGGTCGGACACGCTCGGCGTCAGCCACCTGGCAGCAGCGCTGGCCACGCGATGGCTGCCAGACAGGAGAGGGCACGATTGAAGTGAGCCTCTCGGCAGCTGCACTGGCCACGCGATGGCTGCCAGACGGGAACGGGCACGATTGAAGTGAGCCTCCTAGCAGCAGCGCTGGCCACGCGATGGCTGCCAGACAAAAGCGAGCACGCTTGAAGTGAGCCTCCTGGCGGCAGCGCCTGCCACGCGACGGCTGCTGGACGCGAGAGGGCACGCTGGAGCTGAACCTCCTGGCAGCAGCGCCAGCCACGCGACTGCTGGACGGGGTCGGACACGCTCCGCGTCAGCCACCTGGCAGCAGCGCTGGCCACGCGATGGCTGCCAGACAGGAGCGGGCACGATTGAAGTGAGCCTCTCGGCAGCTGCACTGGCCACGCGATGGCTGCCAGACGGGAACGGGCACGATTGAAGTGCGCTCCTAGCCAGCACGCTGGGCCACGCGATGGCTCCAACAAAAGCGAGCAACGGATCTGAAGTAGCTCCTGGCGGCAACGCCGGCCCACGCGACGGCGGCTGGACGCGAGAGGGAGCTTCTCCTGAGCCCTCCTGGCAGAGGCGCCAGCCACGCGACTGCTGGACGGGGTCGGACACGCTCGGCGTCAGCCACCTGGCAGCAGCGCTGGCCACGCGATGGCTGCCAGACAGGAGAGGGCACGATTGAAGTGAGCCTCTCGGCAGCTGCACTGGCCACGCGATGGCTGCCAGACGGGAACGGGCACGATTGAAGTGAGCCTCCTAGCAGCAGCGCTGGCCACGCGATGGCTGCCAGACAAAAGCGAGCACGCTTGAAGTGAGCCTCCTGGCGGCAGCGCCGGCCTCGCGACGGCGCTGGACGCGAGGTTGGACGCGAGAGGGCCACGCTTGAGCTGAGCCTCCTGGCCAGAGCGCCAGCCACGCGGCTGCTGACGGGGTCGGACACGCTCGCGTCAGCCACCTGGCAGCAGCGCTGGCCACGCGATGGCTGCCAAACAGGAGCGGGCACGATTGAAGCAAGCCTCTCGGCAGCTGCACTGGCCACGCGATGGCTGCCAGACGGGAACGGGCACGATTGAAGTGCGCCTCCTAGCAGCAGCGCTGGCCACGCGATGGCTGCCAGACAAAAGCGAGCACGCTTGAAGTGAGCCTCCTGGCGGCAGCGCCGGCCACGCGACGGCTGCTGGACGCGAGAGGGCACGCTTGAGCTGAGCCTCCTGGCTGAGGCGCCAGCACGCGAACTGCTGGACGGGGTTCGGACACGCGTCGGCGTCCAGCCTTCTAGCAGCAGCGATGGCCACGCGATGGTGCCAACAGGACGGGCACGATTAAGTGAGCCTCTCCGGCACTGCACTGGCCACGCGAATTGGCTGCCAGACGGGAACGGGCCACGATGAAGTGAAGCCTCTAGCACAGCGCTGGCCACCGATGGCAGCCAGACAAAAACGAAAAGCGACACGCTGAACTGAGCCTCCTGGCGGCAGAGCCGGCCACGGCGACGGCTGCTGGACGGCGAGAGGCTCGCTGAGCTGACCTTCCTGGCAGAGGCGCCAGCACGCGACTGCTGGACGGGGTCGGACACGCTCGGCGTCAGCCACCTGGCAGCAGCGCTGGCCACGCGATGGCTGCCAGACAGGAGCGGGCACGATTGAAGTGAGCCTCTCGGCAGCTGCACTGGCCACGCGATGGCTGCCAGACTGGAACGGGCACGATTGAAGTGAGCCTCCTAGCAGCAGCGCTGGCCACGCGATGGCTGCCAGACAAAAGCGAGCACGCTTGAACTGAGCCTCCTGGCGGCAGCGCCGGCCACGCGACGGCTGCTGGACGGGGTCGGAC